ACAATGCTTATAACATCAGAGATGACAGTGGAAATGATGATAGAGAATGTGGAGTGTCGATTGATGGGACATGGCAGAAGAGAGGATATTCGTCGCACAATGGGGTTGTTACGGTGATCTCCTTGGATACACAGAAATGCCTGGATGTCGAAGTGCTATCAGACAAATGTCAGCAATGCCAAAAGTGGGGGAAAAGGATTCAAGATCCAAGGTATAATGCATGGAAGGCATCCCACAAGTGCAAGATCAACCATGAAGGAAGTGCTGGTAGCATGGAAACAGCTGGGGCTGTTAGAATTTTTGAACGGTCGCTTGATACGCGAGGGCTGAAGTTTACCAAAATGCTTGGAGATGGTGATTCCTCTACCTACAGCGCCATTGTTGAAAGGGAGCCATATGGGGAGGATTGCATTCCAGAGAAATTGGAGTGCATTGGCCACGTTCAGAAGAGAGTTGGAAGTCGTTTACGGAAATTGAAGACTTCTAGCAAGGGATTGAAATTGGCTGATGGCAAAGGCTTGGCTGGTAAAGGCAGACTGACAGATGCTAAAATAGACATATTGCAAAACTATTATGGTCTGGCAGTCAGAGAAAACCTGGATAGTGTTGAGAATATGGCCAAGTACATTGAAGCATCTCTTTACCATGTTGCGTCAACTGCCGAGAATCCACAGCATCATCTTTGCCCAGAAGGAGAGGACAGTTGGTGTGGGTATAACAAAGACAAGGAGGGATACAAGCACAAGAATGGAATTCCAAGCTGCATTGTTGAGCTGATTAAGCCTATATACAAGGACCTTAGTAATCCTGTCTTGTTGAGTAAATGTACCCATGGCTTGACGCAGAATGTCAACGAGTGTCTAAACGGGATGATCTGGGATAGATGTCCAAAGACTGTTTATGTTGAGCAAGAAACTGTGGCTCTTGCCACTTACCTGGCCATCTTAAAATTTAATGATGGTGACATTTCTTTGTTGAAGTTGTTTTCTGACCTGGATATAACTCCTGGTATATTCTCCGGTAAAGGCGCTGAAGATTCCGACGGTTCAAGAATTAAACTGTCGGCAAAGAAGAGCACAGAGAAAGTGAAGAACAGAAGGAAATTGTTGAGACACCAAAGGAAACACTATGTTGACAGTCTTGAAGACAAAGAAGGTGTTTCCTATGAGGCAGGTGCATTCTAGGCAACAAAATAATGAACAACAACTTTAAAACACTATTTTCTGAATTTAACAGTTTTGTCGGTACATTAAGTTTTTGAGATAGCATAATTTTTTGAATATTTATTGTGAGAGGTTGAAATTTGGTATATTTATAGCCATTAACATAATCTAGTGCCTGACCATTTTTTATTTTCAATATACTTCATTAAAGATGCATAAATGGAGTTTAATTACCTAATTAGGCATAAAAAAATGCTTTTTTCCTAATATTTGGATTGTTTAGAATTTTTTTTTGGTAAAATTGTTTAAAAGAGAAAATAAAAATGGTCAAGCACTAGATCTTGTTATAAGCTTTCCAAATATATGTCATTTATGTTGTTCTGATTAATTGTGTCTGCTGTATCTGGATTCATGCGACGCCATTTTTTGGCTAATTAGTCGGCGGCCATATTGGATAATTAGTGTAATTAATGAGTAACCAAAATTTTTTTTAAAATTTTTTATTTTAATCACTGTGCACCTTCAAAAAATGTTTTTGCAAAGTTTTTACCTTGTAAAATAAAAAAAATTGCTCTGAAGGGGAATGACCACCTTAAAAAAGGCCCTGATTTGGCACATTTTGATAGAAAATTCATTGCGATTTAGGAATGTCAAAATGAGCGCAAAGATGTGGGTTTTGCTTGTGTTTACAAGCTCATTAATAATTCACTTGGTCTCGGGTGTAGGAAATGGCAAAGGGACATCTCAGACTCAATATGTACCTCATATTGTACATCAGATAAGCAAGTAAGTGTTGAACAAATAGTTGTAATGATTTTGCATATAGTAAAATGTACTTGTTAGTATTCTGCCTCATAATTGAAGTTTGTGCTTAGGAAATGCTGCTTAGTAATATACATTTTCTGATTAATACCGTATAGTTACTTGCTTTACACCATGGCATCCAAATACAAACAACAAGAGGATCAAAGTTATGATTCGTGATTGGCCATTGTTGTCAATCGTATTCTTCTGGAATCAGGGATAGATGGTGTTATACTTAGCACTCGGTTGCTTAAAGCATTTTCAAAAAAGATTTGTAGTCTACGTGCTGCTTTGAAATGTATGAAACGACATGGTTAAAATAAAGAGATGAGTGTTATAAACATAACATACAATTTTGAATGAGAAACAATGGGCTATGGGTGAGAAAAGAAATTACCTTCTGGCAGTATTAAAAGAAAAGGAATGCTATGATGTTTTGTCAGTTGGTTTGTTGGATTTAATTAAAGAAATGGAGGAGAGCAAAACGATAAAAGTAGATAATAACATTTATGAAATTGAATATTCCCTTGGTGGAGATTGGACGTTTTGGGCTTCTGATTGGACGTCTTTGGCTTTTGCTTGCATTGTCCCAAGTGCCCAAAATTGCAGAGGTATAACACAAAGTCTGGTCTATCCTGGATCCAAAGTTTGGAGCCAGAACATTTGAAGAAATAAGGAAATTCGAAATGAAAGAAATGTAATGGCAACCATGCACCCTTATTTCCATTTATACCCCTCAATCATGTGATTATTGACACACTCCACCTGTACCTCCGGATATGCGATAATCTTATCCAGTTACTTATTCGAAAATTGAGAGTTCGTGATGCAATTGACAAAAAGAAGACATTTACAGACAACTTTGCAAGGAATAAGTACAAGTATATGGCTGGGTATGAAAGTTATCTCCAAAGTCTAGGAATACCATTTCACTTTTATGTGAGCAAAGAATCCAATCCATTAACAGTTTTAAGACTAAGGTCAAAAGCTGGCTGACAAAATTTCGTGTTGTCCACCAAACAAAGGATGTCACACCATACATGCATGCCCTCTGTTCACATGTTCCTGAGTTTCTTGCCCTGTATGGCAACATAGAATACGTCACACAACAAGGCATGGAAAAATATAATGACATAACCTCCAAGAACTTCTTCAGATCAACAAATCACAGGTGTGTTTCTGCCATAAAGCAACTGTTCCTTAAAAGAAACCGACTACAGTTCCTAGAGGCAACTTGGTGTGCTAGGGTGAAAAGAACTTATACCTGCTCAAACTGTAATTGCACTGGTCACACAATTAAGACATGCACTGCTGAATGTAGTGAGTATAAGTATAAAACATTTTGTGCCTCAAGCCAAGAGCATTGTCGATACTCTCAACATAACACTTGCTACTAAGCCACCAAGTACCACAGTAAATACATCTGGTGACGCATCAACCTATTTTGAACGTATTTTGCTGTTTTACGGCATTTTTTTGTTTTCAATTTTGTTAAAAAATTTACAGAAGCACAACATGGTTTTTTTCTGATTTTAACTGGAAATAAGCCTGCAGTTTCATGAATTAGTGGCTGTTCAACCGTTTGTTCAACAGCAAACAAAGTTTGTATAATAATTGTTTTGATGTTGATGTCTTTGTTAATTTAATTGTTGTTGTGCCGATTTGGGTAAGTGTAATTCCAGTAGTAAAATTCCATGCATTTTATTCATATCTGTGAAATTTTTAAGCCTCGATAACTTGATAATTCACTTTAATGCAAGCTGGTATGCATGACATGCAGTGAATGTTATCTTTAATTATAAAGCTAGCTAGCACATCAGTTGTGTTTTTATGTTTGTTTTTATGTTTGTTATAATGGTCTTAATACTTTATGTGGAGTTTTTATACTTCATCTGTTAAGAAAGGCGAGGGGTTGCTGCATGCATGTATTTTCTAGTATATTGCACATATTCACTGTGTATTTTCTAGTGTCATATTGCACATATTCACTGTGCATGGGGCACTGGACACAAGTTGATGTTCATGATAGTATTATGAAAGTTTGATATGGCGGGCGGCTAAAATAAGAATTATGACACTTTGCTAATAAGTACTGTCCTGGCTCTAACTGGGGCCAAAATGGATCACAAGGGCTATTTTGGCACCTCGAGGGCCATTCTGGCCCCAATTCATAATGCTATTTTGGCCTTCATATTTAGTACCGTTTTGGCCTCCCATACTTAGCAGTGTTTTGGCCCGCATTTTTAGTGCTGTTTTGGTCCGCATATTTAGGTGCTGTTTTGGCCAAGTACAGGGCCAAATTGGGATGTTATTCTAAATGACTAAAATTCATATAGCTAACTTTTCTTCAGGAGTATAGACTACAGAATCCAGCCTCTCAATGTGACCATAGCCACGCCCACACCTAGGGGGTCTAGGGGCATGCCCCCCCCCCCTTTTGAAATTTGAAACCCGGAAATGCTGTTTCCTGCGTTCTGAGCAGCAGATTCTGTCAAAAAATTTGGCCTTAACCAGGCCAAATTTTAGACAAAACGTAACAAAAATACACACAATAACTGATAAATGTTCTCCAGTGAATAATACAAAATCAGTGGACAATCACCTTACAGTTACTCACATACGATCACAACTCCGGACTCTAGACTATGTCTGATGCAAATTTCACATGCTGTTCCATATTGTATTACAGATTCGGCTGTATTTCAGGCGATTGGTATCAGTGTTCAAGTTTCTACACCAGTAATCATAAAGCGTCTAGGTGTAGATAAATCTCTGTTCAGGACTGAGTACATCATTCACATTTCCTTGTTTTAGTTACTCCGTAGGTCTTTTACGAGGGTTGGGTTTCCAACCCAGTAAACCAACCCGCCTCCTTTTTCATCCAGGCTTGGGACCGGCAGTGGCAGAGTTAGGGAGCATCTTGCAACAAAGGACGTAATTAGGGAAAATAGCACAGCTTCAGTAAGGAACATTTTTCACTGCAAATCATCTTGAAACAGCAGGACAAAGGTAGTTAAATAAATGTTCACTGGTACCGTAAATCATCTTGAAACGGCAACACGAAGGAAGGTAGGAAAATGTAATTGTTCACCCTTACAACTTATCTTAAAATAGCAGCATAACGGCAGCTTGCGGCAGATATGAAATGTCCATTGTAAGTCATTTTGAAACAGCAGCAGGAAGGAAGTTAAGTAAATGTTCAACGTAAATCATCTTGACACAGTAGCAAAAAGGAAGTTACGTAAATGTTCACTGTAAATCATCTTGAAACAGCAGCAAAAAGGAAATTAAGTAAATGTTCAACGTAGATAATCTTGAAACAGCAGCAAAAAGGAAGTTAAGTAAATGTTCAATGTAAATCATCTTAAAACAGCAGCAAAAAGGAAGTTAAGTAAATGTTCACTTTAAATCATCTTGAAACAGAAGCATAAAGGAAGTTAAGTAAATGTTCACTGTAAATCATCTTGAAACAGCAGCACGAAGGAAGTTAATTAAGTAAATGTTCACTGTAAATCATCTTGAAACAGCAGCAAAAAGGAAGTTAAGTAAATGTTCACTGTAAATCATCTTGAAACAGCAGCAAAAAGGAAGTTAAGTAAATGTTCAACGTAGATAATCTTGAAACAGCAGCACGAAGGAAGTTAAGTAAATGGTCATTGTAAGTCGTCTTGAAATAGTATAGTACAAAACAAGTTCGAGAAATACTGACTTTTAAATCACGTTGAAGTAGACATACAGCTCGACAGCATTTGAAACATTTTCACCTGTAAATCACAAGTGTCCTAGATTAATTGCAATGTAGAGGTTGTGAATCAAAATAGTTTTGGCTCCATCCACCTTTTGTGAATACGCAAGCCACGGGAATAAGTTCAACCATTCAAAACGGAACTTTCTTTTGTCGTTGTCCAATGGAAACGTGTACGTTGCCGATGGTCTCCAAACAATACAAAGAACGTGGTACTTTCGTTCATCAGTTAACGAGGATGCGTTCGCGTAATTGGCAATGTCTGTGGGAATGTCTTTTTGTACCAGCGAGCTGCTTGGCCATTTCTTCGGTTGTTGGTTATGAATTTGAGCCTCTTCATCACCAGTTTGCTTGGCGAACTTTATTTTCTTTGGAAATAAATTATCAAGAACAGCTCGCTTTTTTAAAACTTTTTGTGTACCAGAAGATGAAGGTTGCAGAGCGGATGAAGGTTGATGGCCAGATGAGGGTTGGGGAGCAGACAATGTCTGTGATATTTTTCCAGCATATGAAGGGGTCTTCCTTATTTCGGTCGAACTTGCATCAATACCGGAGAGAACAGGCTTATAAAAAACGTCTGAATGCAGGTCGGGTCACTGATGTTGTCTTTTGGCTTACAAAGGGCAACGTAATAGTTTTTACATGCAGGAATTTTACTCACCACAGAATAACCTATTGGCATCAGTGCACACCGAAAAATGTGAATCCTCTCATCAGAATTCAATTTAGTTGTTACTCGTGGCTGAATAGTGCAATTAAACATTGTTGACAAAGAATCTTTCTTCTCTTCGGACGTGCTTTCATTTGTTGTTGGGATGGGAAAGTATGCCTCAATTGGAAGGCTTATTGTACTTGACAATGCAAGAAGGCAAAGGAACAAAGCTCCACTGGCGATTCAATGCATTGTTGTATGATTCGGTTACAACAGATTTACTAAGATGGTCCTTAGCAAGCAAATCCAGAGCTATATCGGATAGGCACATTGCAAAAGCATTTGCAATGCAAGAAAATGCACCTGTGTTTTACATAAAACAAAGAATTTACCAAAAGCTCAATGCTTGTAAGACAATGCAGGTAAGGTGCAAGGGTCTCATTGCCACACAATGCAATGGAACAAGCATTGTACATGCAGTTTCCATCTCCTGTTGTCCTAAAAGGGGGTGAACACAGAAAACCATGTAAGCCCATTAATGGTAATTTGTATCAGTATCAATGCTGAAATAGTTATTTATTGGTTGGTTTATGAATGTTCACCCTCATTGAATTGAATATCAAATATCAAACAAGTCATATGATATTAGGCTGCAGGGATAATTTAAGTAAGAAAGTAATGAGTACAGAAGACTAATGTTGACCTTTCTAATACCTCCAGGGCACCCATAATCAAAAAGTGTGCACCTCATCAATCGTGTAACTTTACTTTTTTGAGCACTTGCCCTCAGGGCAAGTTGGTCATGAAAATTAGTTGCCCTGAATAAAATTCACTTGCAATCAGACAATGGCCACCAGGGTACCGAGGTAGGGAGTATAAAATAAGGGGACAACTTGCCCGTCATGTAAGGGTTTACTTGCCCGTCATGATACTGTATTCACTTGGGCAAGTGTTAAGTTACACCTCTGCTCATCATAGCTACAGTACTCATCTGAGAAAAAAACTTTGATATTCAGCACAGTAAAATAAAATTAAAATTAGACACCCTAGTTATGCATTTAAGATTAAGGCAAAATTCAAATGTTGAAGTTTTCATGTGTCAAACCAGACATGGATGAGTGCAATCACTAGATTTATGTCATTTGCACTGGGTTATGAACATGGTAAGTGCAATGTTTGAGCTACAATAAGCAGACACAGATTCTTAATAGTACAGAATATCAAGATTCAAGAACGTGAATTTAGGATTGAGGGGTACTCCTATTTTATTTACACATTGACATGCCTTCATGTGAATCAACATCAATGAACACATGGCACCTTCAAAGGAATTGTCATAAGATTGCATCCTAAGAAACCCATCATATTTAACCCATTAAGCACCAGCGCTCTCCTCTTGATGAATAAAATCGCCTGGCGTTAGACAGAGTAAAATACTAAAGTAGGGTGCATCAGGGTGCAATGCAACTCAATGGGTTAACTAGACACATGGGCAGATAGGCCAGTTAACCCATTAAGCACCAGCACTCTCCCCTTGACAAGTAAAATC